AGAGAGAGAGAGAGAACGAGATAGCAACAGTCAGAGAAGGGAGTGTGAGCAATCATCTCTATGTTAATACAACACCAACCCGACGTTCTACCGTGTACTACGCAGGCTTCAACAACTCGGTGCTGAACTGCGGCCGCTGCGACAGCGCCATGTCCGTCAGTCAGGAATGTCAGCCCGTATCCATCCCGAGAGACGATTCGTTCTTCCCAGCGACAACTGCCGACGGAAGTCCGCACTGCATGGCCTTCGCTAGATCTTCCCCCATCACTGATAAAAAATTTGGTGAGTATTTGATTGTGTTGACACCCCATGTTGAGCTTTGATGGCCTTTGCTAGGTCTTCCCCCATCTATACTAGCTTTGGTGAGCATTCGGTTGTGTTGGCATCACATGTTAAGCTTCTATGGTCTTTGCTAGGTCTTCCCCCATCTATACTAGCTTTGGTGAGCATTCGGTTGTGTTGGCATCACATGTTAAGCTTCTATGGCCTTTGCTAGGTCTTCCCCCATCTCTACTGAGATTTGGTGAGCATTTCGTTGCTCTGATTATCCGTCTAGTCACTATGGCCCGAGTAATAATTCCCCTGCGTACGTCTGCTACACATATTTTTATGACGTATGCCTGACGCCACATGTTTCTCTCGTAGGTCCACGTCAACAGATGAATCAGATTACGTCATTTATTGACGCGTCCAATGTCTACGGATCGACGATGTGTCGCAAGGAGCAGCTGAGAGAGGGACGAGGAGGTAGGTGGTGAGGGAGGGGAGAGGAGATAGGTGGTGAGAGAGGGGAGGGGAGGTAGGTGGTGAGAGAGGGAAGAGGAAGTAGGTGGTGAGAGAGGGAAGAGGAGGTAGGTGGTGAGGGAGGGGAGAACAGGTAGGTGGTGAGATAAGGGAGTGAAGGTAGGTAGCGAAGCAGGGAAGAGAAGCTAGGTGGTGAGAGAGGGAAGAGGAGGTGGGCGGTCAGAAAGGGACAAGGAGGTAGTGCCTCCCAGCCGGTGACAGCACGTGTAACGGACCACCTCCCAGCAGGTGACAGCACGTGTAACGGAACTCCTCCCAGCAGGTGACAGCACGTGTAACGGAACACCTCCCAGCAGGTGACAGCACGTGTAACGGACCACCTCCCAGCAGGTGACAGCACGTGTAACGGAACTCCTCCCAGTAGGTGACAGCACGTGTAACGGAACTCCTCCCATCAGGTGGCAGCACGTGTAACGGAACTCCTCCCATCAGGTGGCAGCACATGTAACGCAACACCTCCCTGCAGGTGGCAGCACGTGTAACAGAACACCTCGCAGCAGCACGCGTAGCGTTGCGGTAGACGGTAGCACATATATATAAAGCGTGTTTGGTGCTGCGTAGGGCGCATGCGCATGCAGCCGAACGGAAACAGGAAGCCGCTGCTGCCGCCGCTCGCCGACGACGAGGAGGACTGCGCTGCGACGCCGAAGAGTCGCTGCTTCATGGCGGGAGACGTGCGCGCCAACGAGCAGCCGCTGCTGGCAACGACGCATCTCATCTGGGTGCGACAACACAACCGACTGGTTGGCGAGCTGGCGGGACTCAACCCGCACTGGAGCGACGAAATGTTGTACGAGGTGAGAGGCTGGTAGTCATGCAGGTCTGGTAAAAAGGATGGCTGCAATCATCGGTTGAGACTCAGTTGAGACGCAGTTAGACCACCACCACCTTCACCACCACTTCCACCTTCACCACCACCACCACCTCCACCACCATCATCATCATCACCACCACCTCCACCACCACCATCATCATCACCACCACCACCACTACCACCAACATCACCATCACCACCACCAATATCACCACCACCACCACCATTACGCCCCCCCCAACCACCACCACTTACAACAACAACCCATCCCACCACCAACACCACCACCATCATCATCACCAACATCACCATCATCATCACCAACACCAACACCACCATCATCATCACCATCACCAACACCACCACCATCATCATCATCATCACAACAACATCGACCCGCTATATTTTCACCTCTGGGATTTTAAATGACCCTCGGCTCTCGAAACTCGCACTATGACACCACGCGTCGGCTTCGCATCAATGCAGATGCTGATGAGAGATTCAGATGCTGAGGATGAGGATGAGGA